ACTCGTGAAAATGCTGAACCTTATAGTTTGATGTATTAAGTTACATTAGAAAAAGATACGAGCCTGTCCATCTAGGTTTGAGGGTTTCTTATGTTGCTGGATTTTACTACAGCGAAACCCAATCCCCTCATACAAGCTATCGATCTTTCACCCTCTTATCTTCTCAATTTGGATTCCTGTACGTGAGTTTTGTCTGTACCGTTTACCTCCTCTAGGATCCAAAAATACACACATACATTTGCTTTGAGTGGTGCCCCATAAAGGGGAGTGGCACTGCAACACAACACTTTGACCTTGAATTTCTGTAGACAGGTGGCCATGGGGTGGCCCCCAAAAAGTCAGTTGACTGGTTCTGTGAGGTTATGGTGAACTGAATGGCAGTATTGGACCTTCTCAGTTGGACATTATTTAGTGTTGGGGTTTCGATATAGTGCTCTTAAAACCCTGGTATAGCTGCACTGTCCAATTTAGGCAGTGTGTTATCAGTGGGTACTGAATCTTTCGCTTGTGTATTTTAGAAATAATGAAAGTCGGAAGAAAATACAAATAACAAATATAGGAAAACGACCACAAGTGGAAGACTGTTACACAGTCACCATGTCCAACTGTTCCTGTACCTCGATAATATTATAGCAAGGAAAATCTCTTTCGTCGACTTTAAGCACACACTATCTATCATGACTAAATACCATTTGTTAAATTCTCCCTAGTGTTAGAGTATTATTAAAAACTGTTCTCTTCACTATAAGTGAAAGCCAAGTGGTTAGGGCGCTAAACTCGCAATCTGCGGGTCGCGGGTTCGAATCCCCGTCCCACCAAACAGGCTCGCGCTTTCAGCCGTGGGGCGTTATAATGTGACGGCGAATCCCATTTTCGTTGGTAAAAGAGTAGCCCAAGAGTTGGCGGTGGGTGGTGATGACTAGCTGCCTTTCCTCTAGTCTTACAATGCCAAATTAGGGACGGCTAGCGCAGATAGCCCTCGTGTAGCTTTGCGCGAAATTCATAACAAACCAAACAAATCACTAAGTCAGTTACTTGTTGTGAATACACAATAATAATAATAATAATGCACCTCTTCACTGTTGTTTAACAAAATATGCTTACATCAGATATTTATGTATGTGAAAAGATCCAGCATATTTTTATGCTGCAGAGGAAGTTATATTTATAAGATAAAAACTAGACTATAATATCATTATTACTAACAACATTACCACGACTTACTGTAATAGTATAAATATTTGATGTAGCCATAATTTATTAAACATGATGGTGTATATTTTGAATTATGAATGGGATATTCCATTGCCTTAATAATTTTGATGAATAAAAAAAATGATATATTGAAAGATAAGGTCAGAGTTAAGTTCCTGCTCTGTTGCTATTATTATTTTCTTGGTCAGAGCTTTGTTTACTACTATATATGATTATAATTTTTATTTGATTATGATTTGAAAAGGACATTTCAGTGTGAGCTTTTTGAGGTCAGGGGTTATGTTGATGAGTAATGTATTACAGAAGATAATTGGTGTAATTACTTTCTTTTATTGACACTATTATTTTTTAATTCATTGCTATTTAGTAAACATAAAATATTAAATGGAATGGTATCAATAAAATTTCAACTTGCACAGTTTTGAAATGTTACAAGTATGGGTTCAGAATGACATGCACTGGATGATGGATTTTGAGAGGTAAGAAAACGGACTGCAGAAGATGGGCCGAAAATGGTTAGTGAACTGAGCTTTAGGTTGGAAAGTGTAAGGTTTGAGCTCGACATATATTGTTGAACCGGCTCCGCACTCACAGCACTATGTGCATTATAAAACTGAGAGTCAATCTTACTATTAGGTTAAGAGTATGCATTGGAAGATGCTAACTGATTGCCCTCATTCTGGTCAGGAATTCGAAAATATGGTTAAATTCACCTGATATCTTGAGGTTTTCGATCTGACCGTTTAGCTCATGTGTTGCATAAAATACCATTCATGTTGACAATGTCAAATGTATGTGTAGAAAATATTTATGAAATTGAAGGTGGTTATAAAGAAAACTTCGTATTTAAAACTAGTTGTCCAAGGGAAACTAAAACATTTCACCAGACACACATTGAATTGTTTGTTAAATTTTGTGCAAAGCTTCTCGAGGGCTATCTGTGTTAGCCATCCTTAATTTAGAAGTGATAGACTAGAGGGAAGGTAGCTTGTCAACATCACCCACCGCCAACTCTTAGGTTACTTCTGACCAATGAATAGTGGGATTGACCATCACTTGTAACTCCCCCATGGTTGAAAAGGCGAGCATGTTTGATGGGTTTCAATCCTGCAACCTACAGATTGCTAGTTTATTCCCCTTACCACTTGCCATGCCAGGTACGTTGAAAATCATATATTTTAATCACGAAAGACTGGGCATGGTACAAGTTTTTAAAAAACTACCAGTATAGCAATAAAAACAATTAAATTTTGTAAAGACAAGTAGGGATCGATATATACGTAATCTAGCTAGCTATAGTAATATAGAAAGTTTTAATGCTACAAAAAGTATTGAAACAAGAAAATCAAAATTACAAAAACTGAGTTACTTAAAATCGAAAATTTTTATCCCAATTTTGGCAAATCACTATAATAATTTTAGTCTGAGCCAAAGCAGGGATATATATTAATTTTAAGAAACTCAGTTTGTGTAGTTTTGACTTTGACTTTCTTGTTTCAATACCTTTTTAGTAGCATTAAAACTTTCTATATTTCTATAGCTGGCCCGGCATGACAAGGTCAGGGAACTTTACTTGCAATCTGCGGGTCACAGGTTTGAATCCCCGTTCCACCAAACATGCTCGCCATTTCAGCCGTGGGGGGAGTTATAATGTGACGGTTAATCCCACTATTCGTTGGTAAAGTAGTAGCCCAAGAGTTGGCGGTGGATGGTGATGACTAGCCGCCTTCTCTTTAGTTTTACACTGCTAAATTAGGGACGGCTGGCGCAGATAGCCCTCGTGTAATTTTGCGCGAAATTAAAAAAAAATATACAAACAAATTTCTATACCTAGCTAGGTTATGGATATATCGATCCCTACTTGTCTTTATAAAATTTAAGTTTTATTATACTTGTTTGTTTCCTTTTCATTAGCTATATTTTTGTGCGCCATCAATACTACGTGTACACCCGATTGAATTACTCATTAGCATCTCTAACAACCTATCATCAAATCTAATTATATGCTCAAATTAGTGCATTGTTCCGTTTTATACATTGGGACCCCAGACGGAACAGAATTAGAGCAATAGGGTTCACCATTTTTTATGCACGCTTGTCTGGAAAACTCGCTTACTTATTTACTTTACTTAGATGAAAATTCGTTTGAAATACTGACATTTTGAAACGCGTATATGGCGATTTAGGCGGCTTTATAATTACAATAAGCTTTAGTTTTGTTCAGCCAATGCTGTGAAATAGTCATTGTTAATATTCAGTCATATTAAAGGAGGTTTTAAATGGGCGATTTTTATACCCGCCATTTTATTTCATCACGATCCCTACTATCAAGTACTACCGTACTTAATGATTACAGAAAGCTCTCAGTGTACGTTTCTGTATTCTTTATCAGCATATGAAACCTATCTCTTAAAATGAAGCTACTGTAAGCAGCATTTCGTATGTACAGTCTTCATTGGCCCCAGCAATATCTCGAATATTAACACAAGGTCAGACTTTCTTTTATAGATATCATGCTTCTACATGTCCGAGTAATGTTTGAGACATAATCATTTTAAATATGGTTCATTTGTTTTTATTATCACCCTGTACAGAAGTTGAGTGTATTATACTACAACGATTTTGGTGCCTCACCACGATTTACAGACCATGTCGCCACGAATTGGCCAGTTTGGCTTTATATGAAACACCTTGAATACTCATTTCATTCTCTAATTGCTTGTGGTATGTGTCAGTTGAAAGGATATGTTGTGCAAACAACGTGTACACTTGACTTGTGTCACTTTTACTGATGGAGATCATTCTTGATTATGCTGCATACTGTTGCCTTAGTCTCTTTAACGGTTTTTGCAACTTAGCTTTATGTTTATGGATTCTCAACTGTTACAAGACACCACACTTTGCTTACCATGACTGGGGTACGACTTGCTGCAGGTCTCTTTCTGAATAGTCCAGGGGCTACAGTCTGATCCACATTTATTTGTCTTCCAATGCCATAAAGTAAAAGGGATATATTTTATAATGCGAGTGTATAACTATTTTGCGTCGGAAAAAGTTGTTACATACTCTTCACAAAGGCAATAATGTTTTTTATGGCAATACGCTATATACGTAACGACAAACAATGTCAATGTGTAATTCTGATACATACCGAACCCGGTGGTTAGAGCACTCGACTCGAATTCGTTTCGACCATATGGGGGTTATAATGTGATGGTTAATTTCACTATTCGTTGGTAAATAGCCTAAGAGTTGGCGATGGGTGGTGTTGAATGTATGTCTTCCCCCCTAATCTATCACTTGAAAATTGGGGGCGTCTTGCGCAGTAGCACTTGGGTACATTTGCGTAAAATTCAACACACAAACAAATACATGCCGTTCCACTGCGATTTTATATGAACTGTGATTTGTATATTCAAAATCGTTTTAGTAAATGTACTCTGCATATCTAGTATTGAATACAAATTGACATAGGAAATGCTTCAAACAAACACATAAACTTGTGTTAATAATTATGAAATACATTGTGAAACTTGATGTTTGGAGCTAGGTTTCTATTGGAAAGCAGTTTTCTGTTTAGCTCAAGTTTCGTCTGGCGAAATAACACTCCATTCTCACTGGTAACACTAGGGACGATTGACGTACATACACTTAAAAATAATATGTTTAATTACACAGACTCCATTTAAAAAGAAAGCAATGTGCTTTTTATTATTGAAAATGATCAAACTCGTGTATATTAGTTTATAATATTTTTAAATCTTGCATATCATTTATTGTTCTAGGCTATAGTTCATCAGAAATGCTTATTGTTTGTGCAAATCTCGTCCACCACATACCAACCAGAAAAAGCTGTTGATACAACCTGTGATTTCACATTGTACTTTACAATATTTCCGCTTGTGTACGGGCTGGTCATGGCCCTGTATCATGGATATGCCTTCATTGTGTCCAGGCGAGAAGAACACGTGGCGTACGTACATATTGGTTTTCATTTTATATGGTTACAAAAGTAATTATTCATGGTGGTTAAATAATATTGCAGTAAAAGATATATAGTGATATTCTGAAACGTTTCCAGTTTCTTTGTTCATTTATCTATCTATTTACATTAAATGGATAACGGATGTAGTATTTGTGGTTGTAGCCAAGAGGTTTGTGTCAAGATCAAATTGTTTTCGATGTAAAAATGAAGTACTTAAGTTTTCATGGTTTTAGTTCGTTACAAGATGTTAGGTAAAATTGAACTGGATAAACTAGGATGTATAGTGTGCAAAGCATGTTAAATCAGGATGAAATAGTTTGTTTGTTTTTAGAGCAAAGCCACAATGGGAAATCTGCAGTGTCCACCGTGGGGAATCGAATCCCGGATTATAGCGTTGTAAGTACATAGACTTACCGTTGTCCCACTGGTGGACCTGAAATAGTTAGACTTCATGAGTTTTTAAGATATTTCAAATTCTGTTAAGTACGAATATGTTACAAAACAGATTATATTAGGTAAGAATATAGTTAAAATTTAGGGATTTTTAGGATTCTGCAAATCATATTAGGTAAAGGCCAAATAATTGAACTCTTAGAAGCTTAAAGATTTTTGTCAATCATTTTAGATCAAATCTAAGAAGTTAAATTTCAACCATTTTCCAATCATTAGTGAAAAACAATAATTAAACTTCCAATTGCATGTTAATGTTCTTAATTGTAACCAAGGTTTGCAGTTTGGGGCTGTTTGTGGATGTTACCGGTCATATTTGCTCGTAAACAAAAACATAAACTACATGGTGTGTGTATATGCTATACAGCGTTATAGAACTCACTGGCACTTATTTTGTAGACAAAATTATATATATGGATCGTTTAAAAGACCCATTTTCTAGTAGTTTTAGCCATATGGAAGTTTCCATTTTATTTAAAAACGCTTATATCAGAAACAAATATTTTATTTTGCCAGACTTATTGATAAAAATAAACAAAAACAGTATAGTGGGATTTTATGGGCTTGTAAAGTGTAACAGATATATATATCGCAGTTGGTCAGTTATATCGGCAATGAATACAATATGGCCACGAACAAGGAAGCACGGTTTCAATCAATGGTGCTGACTGCTGAGAATGCAAATAATGGACAAGGAATGTCTAGAATTCAGTACTGTAGTCTGCAGAGTAGTGTTTCCTTTCGTATTAACAGTGAAAAATAAGAAAATCACACGACGGTGGAGTAATGTAAATGTCTTAAATAATTATGAGTTCCACCTTTCCATAAGTTTAGAATATAACTTTCGTTCAATATATTAAGGCAAATTTTATGAATTTTCGTGTAGGTGTTGTGCTGCATATAGTATGACATTCGTGTTAAACGGATTGCTATAGGTCGTACAACATGTATTAATCATTATGAGTAGGTAAAGGTTACATGCTTAAGCCTTTGTCCTCGAGTTGCCCTCCAATGGCACAGCGGTATGTCTGCGGACTTACAACGCTGGAAACCGGATTTCGATACCCGTGGTGGGCAGAGCACAGATAGCCTATTGTGTAGCTTTGTGCTTAACTGCAAATAACAATTGACCTCGAGTTGAGTTGGCTGCACGTGTTTTTGTATGTCCCCCCGAAGTAGAGGGAGGGGGAGCCTATTCATAGCGACTAGTCTGTCTTGAGTTTGAATTTTGACCGAGAGCGGAGAGTAGGGTCCACGTGTCAGAATTATACGCTCATTTTTAGAAAATAATAACCTTATCACTAATACACAGTACACATCAACGGTTTTCAGGACATACTAGACTTAACAATAGTTTCCAATACGTCGTTTAATCTTCCAAGTGCTTGATAACATAGGGGAGGGGGTCACAACCTCATATCTTTTTACCATTCTCTGATCCAAGGAGACAGACATCTCTGACGACAGCAGATAAAAATTCTCTCCGAATTCAGTAGGGCTAATAAAAACAGCTATCCATGGTTACAGCAAAGTTAACGAAACAATGTCCCTTGAAGTGTGTAGCGATCAAGAAGACAGACATCCAACAGAACTGACGACAGAGGGTCTGCTAAGACTTGTACATAGAGGCACATTGTTTACTTTCTCGACAAATCCGTGTTATAGTATTCAAAAACGCTTTGCAGCTGCATATGCATTATATATGTAGAGACATGCATTTCGTGTACTGCAGCGGTGTGGGTAATTCATGTTGCCCCAGTTTTCATTGGGTGTGTTGTTTAACAATAGTCCTTTAAAAGCCTTTGTAAACCCTGTTACCATTTCACATGGAGTTTGGACAAATATTTTCTCACTGTGTGTATATATACTATTTATCAGATAATTAATAATCTTTCACTTTTGTAATGTTTAGCCGGACAATGTGGGTGATGCCCTGGGTTTTACTGGACTCCTTGGTCATTGTTTTGGGTTTCATCTCATCCTGTATGTACAGTATTGGATTTAGTCAAACCTGTTCTAATCTCCACAAAGACTTACCCAGTAAAAGGTAAGTCGATTTTGTAATTTCATATACATCTTTATGTCAAATATGCTTAACAATTAAAAACTTTGATTTACCGCTAAAAAAGAAAATAATGCTAATTCAGGTTTTCATTATCCTTATAAAAAAATTAATAGAGTAGATACATATAACTTAGGTAAATCAGGAGTTCTTGCTAAACACGTGGCTCTGGTTGCCTAGCTTATATTTCCTATGAATTGCTTCAAGGAGGAATACAACTGTACTCCTGTTTCAAGTGACTTTATTTTATGCATTTTATCTTATGTATACAATTATTTAATGGAAAACACTGAGTAACTTTTTTGATCTATGATACATCAAACTTCTGTTTTTAAATTGTGAACTGAGATACTTTAGTTGCTTAAAAATCTAATTGGTTACTTTTAAATATGTTGGAAGACTATAATAAAGAACCAGTAATAGATTGGTAATTGTCTAATAAAAAGAATGTGAACACTACAAAAAGTAATGAACATAAAATTTTTGTTGTTATCTTTTACGTGGGTCTTACGCTGCTAACAAAAATAATCGAAGCCTTTGGAACTTAACGCTTTGTTTTTTATTAAGATAGAGTAAAGTATTAATATGTATAACTGGGAACTGTGATACTAAAAAATATGAATTTTTACCCTTGATATTCTTAAATGCGTCGTTTCACGAACGTATATATTCATTGCTTTTTTTTTAATCATCATGTACTTCTTATTTAAACTTTATCCAGTGCCAGATAAGCATTGCATTTTTTTTAATATCTAATTATTCTATCTATACTTATATTTTACTTAAAATTATTTGAAATTACATGGTAAGGTCTCACTAGAAATAAATATTCATCTAAAAAACACTAATGTTTGTGTGTGGAATGTATATCATTTTGAATAATTTTATTTATAGTCTTACCTTATCCACAGTTCACAGTATTCATGAATACATTAACGAAAGTGTTTAAAGTGTTAATGTTTCGGTTAAGTTTTTGTATCTCGTTTTGTGGCGACCTCAATACCTAGTATTAAACAATAGTGGACTTCCCCTCTTGTTAAAAATGCTAAAAGGAAACGTTTCAGTAAAATTATCCAATGTTTTGTGTAGATAGTGGGCGCATAACAAACTAAAGTGAGTTTGTTTACTTTTGTTTTTAAACAGTTGTAAAGAGACCTTCTCTACCATGGACTGGAATACAGATAACTCCCACAGCAGCAAGCTTTACAGCCTCATGGCTGTAGTAGAGGTAAAACTTGCAAATTTCTTCTTGAATTAGGTAAAGCGCACTACTTTTATACGGTGAGTGATATATGTAACTTTCTCGTATACTAGGTAAATCATACACAACTTTTTTACAGGTAAGTGAAACATGTAACTTTCTCGCATACTGGGTAAGTCATACACAACTTTTTTACAGGTAAGTGAAACATGTAACTTTATCAAATACTAGATAAATCATACACAACTTTTTTACAGGTAAGTGAAGCATGTGACTTTATTAAATGCTAGATAAATCCTACACAACTTTTCTACAGGTAAGTGAAACATGCAACTTTCTCAAATACTAGATAAATCATATACAACTTTTTTACAGGTAAGTGAAACATGTGACTTTATTAAATGCTAGATAAATCATACACAACTTTTCTACAGGTAAGTGAAACATGCAACTTTCTCAAATACTAGATAAATCATACACAACTTCTTTACAGGTAAATGAAACATGTAACTTTATCAAATGCTAGATAAATCATACACAACTTTTCTACAGGTAAGTGAAACATGTAACTTTCTCGTATAATAGGTAAATCATACACAACTTTTCTACAGGTAAGTGTAACATGCAACTTTCTCGTATACTAGGTAAATCATTAACAACTTTCTTTACGTGTTAGTAAAAGGCATACAGTTTTTGTATAGGTGAAAAATACATTCATTTTTCATACAGGTAAATAAAACCACAACTTTTTCTCATTTAAGTTAGAAAATACACTCAGCGTTTCACTAATATGGATGAGTAAAACACATAATATTGTTACATAACAAATAAGGGCTTAGTTTTCGCGTATACAATAAAAGCAGGTTTGCAATGCTCAGTTTAAAGCACATAACTACTCCGCTTTACAGCAAACTCGTTAAACTACCCTAATTATCAAGGAAAAGCACACTACTTTCCTGTGTAACAAGTAGCTGAAACACTGATGTTAAGTAAGTAAAATAACAATGTTATATAAATAAACCACAACTATGATCGCAAGCAAGCAAGAGCACTCTGATACACTGCTTATCTCCGTAATAAGCCAGGGTGCGCTATTTATCTTTGTAACAAGCAATAAATAACATGCTACTCTATGTAACAGTAAGACTACACTTCTACTCTGTAACAGCCTTCAATGGAAGTATATTAGAATTTTTAAGCAATAACAAAAAATGTATACATGTACCTAATGTGGAACATGGTATGACATGCTTTGATAGTCTAAAGCAGTGGTTCCAAAACATTCACAAGTGCTAGAACCCCTTTTGCATATATATATATATATTCTGTCTTTCTTTTCTAGAATTATTCTACACGGCACGCCATC